TGAGTGAAAGTAGATATACAACATCATCATGTGGATGGGTCAGATTTCATTGTCCAAGAGACCTGGAGCACTGCTGAGACCCCTGAGAAGGATGCTAACATGCATTCTTAGGCAATAGAATGCTCAATCACTGAGAAGGGCATGTGCAAGGGTGGAGTGGGCAGATAGTGTAAAAGTAGAGCATTTAAGTATGAACTCCATTGATAATGAGTCCTGCATGCTGAATAATTTCATGGGTTGGGAGCATGTTTTGGAGTGGAGGGGGTAGTGTAAGCGACTTGTTCATTGACAGTGATTAGTATGACACCAATGGATGGACTTAACTTGAACAGTGGCTGACAGGTTGGCAGCCCAAAGAAATCCACTTGGTTGCAACATCCAGTGTGCTGTTGAATGGAGGACCAACCAGTTGATAGATGAATGAAGGCAGGTGATGAGAGATCTGAGAGAATTCTGATGAGTAGAAAGAGAAGCAGGTTCGGAGGACATGACTTACAGAACTGATGTTGTAGACACTTTATAGCAGTTGCTCACTTGGTGGATGCTAGTGTCTACAGGTCACATTGAGTAGTGGTGGTGGTTGGTATCATACATAGTAGGGGGAAGAAAGACGGTGGTGTCATTCAGAGCAGTCAGATGCTTGTTGGTGGAGGCACTGAGTATGATTGGTATGTATAGTAGGAAGAAGACTGGTGGCAAAGCCTTCAGGGTGGCATCAGGTGTCGGGCAGTGTGTGTTGAAAGCTGTTTTAATGTGAGCCAGTTGGTGAGACCTCATTAACCAGGGCTGCGGCAGAGGTTGGTACCATTGTTGCTTGTGGCTGGGGCATTGTCTCTCATGTGGGCTGGGCTGTTTGTTGTTGCATGCAAGAGGCTGCTTGAATAGGAAGGGAGTGGTGAGTAAAGGTGCTTGCTTGCACAAGAGGGGGAAGAGAAGTCACCATTGTATCAACTAACTGTATTATGAGTTTGTAAAAACTGTAGTGAGTTAGTACAGAATTAATACAACACTGGGTGTTGATGTCAGCCCCTACTTAAGAAGTACCATGGAGCTGCAGATGTTAATATGAATATATTCTTACCTCATAGCTCAGTTTTTAGAGCTATACTTGAGAATTCACTGTAAAAGTGAAATAAAATTATATGACAGCATGATTACATGAAGTGTAACCTACTGTATACCATAATCTTAAATTGTGATAACATACAAGATGTTATGTACTAATAAGAGCCGAACATAGTAACCGTTTGCATAAATGAGTGTATGCTCATAAAGGATAAAAAGGGTAAAGGTACAAAGAAGGATCAGACCTCCTCTACAGGAGGAGGAGGATCTGCATCATTAAAATAAACTTCAACTACCTGAATAACCATAAAAAATATTCTGGGCTTTCCACTTTATAAGAGAAATTCTATTTACCAAAAACTACAAGTAGCCTGTTGATATATTTACACCTCAAGAAAGTCTTCATCTTTTTATATTCACCAGTCAATTTATTCTTTTGGTCATCCAGGTCCAAGGCTAGAACCTTTCCTCACTACTTATTATCTAGCCTTGCTGAAGGGTTCTCAAGAGTTGAGATAACAAGTAGAGGATAAATGCTGAGGCCAGGTTGACCACTACATAGTGCAAGGAAAGGATTTCCACTGGTCTGACCACTACAAGGTAAGGATTTGCAATGGTCATCACTGGACTTACTAGATATCTAACAGCAGTTTAGACTAGTCCAGTGCCCATCTGGCTTGCAGGGAGTAGTCCTGGGGATTCAGGAAGGTAAAAGAACCTGTTTTGCCTCTTTGGTCTGTGCCATCAATCATCATTTTTTAATTTAGTGAGATGTCTTGACCTATGAGGACCAAGGAAGTGCCAAGTAAATATGTGTGTGGGAAAAAAAGATATGGTAAAAAAAGAAGAAAAAAGTGATGCAAATCTTTCTTTACACCTTGAAAGACAAAGTTGTGAGCCAAGAAAAAAATACAACCAAAAGTAAAAGTAATAAACATGTGTACTCATGGGCACATACCAATAATGCTCATATAATGAAGGGTAGAGAGAGAACTGATGAGCAATGTACGAGAGGATAGAAAATAGTACAGGTGGTGAAATAGCAGAGATCAGTAATGTGTTTCTCCAGAAAATTAAACTGACCAGTGGATCAACCACTCAATTCACCAAGCAATCCTTCAAAGTTGAACTTACCAAATCTCTTGTTCAACAGTTCAAATCGTATCTCAGCCTCCCTCATCAATGCTTTGTATGGGCTCTGATATCATGTTTTCTGGTGCCTCATATAAATCTGTGAGTAAATGATCCGTGAATAATTCACATATACTGGCATCCTTTTCACTAATCATTTGAGTAGCAGGGTAAATGGTGGATAGAGCCCGCAAGATAAGGGGTCTAAAATAGGTTCTTCCATCCAAGTTCGTCCATTGTAAGCTCTGGCCTGAGAGGCAGGTCCAAAAGAGACTTGTTGACCTTGGTTGATCAAGCACACCTTATCAAATTGCTCACAGATTCTCTTGCTGGCTTGATAGAGCATCACAAACATGGTTGTTTTAGAAAATTTCACCACCAGCATATTTACATTGCATGTAGTCATGCTATAGATCCTGAGCGACTTACCATATTGTAAAGCTGTGGAAGCATTGAGACCTTGAGTCAAACTATCCCATGAATGGACAGGTCATATATCCACTCTAAAGAGTACCTTCAGCAGCACTTAAGATACTAGCCAATTTCGATGTGGTATTAAGATTGAACAACATTGCTCCTAAGAACCTGAAGAATGAAGTTAGAGATAAGATAGTAATATAGACCAGTAACTAAAAAGTAAAGAAAGCTCCCACATTGCTGTAAATTCTGGGCATGAAGTAGAACTACAGAAAACACCAAGTTTGAGTTAGCTGTCAAACTCGCTGTGAGGTGTCCTGGTTTCAGTTGGCTAGACTCTGACTTAAAAGTGGAATAATGGAAGGGTTCGAGTCAAATACTTGGTGCAATCAAGGGTTTCTTCCCTAATCCTCCTAGTAATGCAGAGCATAGGAAGCAATGGGCACTGTGAATCCACTGGGTGAGCAGGAGAACCAGCCTGTCTGAAACACAGTGAGGAGCTGAATCCCAATTTAGAGCTTCACTCAGCAGGCAGTAAGACACTTTGGTCTTTTTCCTGCTTCATCTTAAGGACCCTAAAGACAAGAGGGAGGATCTTCCCAGTTTGAGGGGCAGTGGAAACAAGGCAGTGTGAACCTTGAAATTCAAGAAAGAGACAAAGAGCCCAAGCTATTTTTTTTAATATCATCACACCTAAAGTAGGGTGAATGATTCTATGACAATCTTAAAAGAAGAAAGCTCAGGGAGCATTTTTGTAGCATTGGGGAAGCATTTGGAATGGATGTGATTGACCTTGCATTTTGAGATGGGTATGAGACCCTGGATGTCATTGTATTCTGTTGGGATAGTGACTTGTTAGGTGACAGTGTTAGTTGTAGTGGGACTTGAATAAAATAAAAATCCCAGTTGGTGGAAACACAACAGTTGGCAGACCATTGGGACAGCAATGTCAAGGAAGACCAACCTGAAGTGCAAATGAGAATGGAATTGGTGTGATAGACTGCAACAAGCCATGTTTGTGACACAGGATGCTTACAGATTAGGGACCAAAGGGACTTCATCTTTTGGTTGTGCAGCAATGATGTGAAGATGTGTGCCCACTTCACCTTGGTCACTACTGTTGTACCACCATATCTGTGGGAAAAATAAAGCTGAAGGCTGCCATATTCACAGTCTTGGAACTGTGGTCTGTGAAAGTCTGCACTGGTATCCTACCTGTCTCTTTGACTATTTGAAGGTGCATGCAACCCAGTGAGGCTCATTGTTGGTGATGCCAACATCAAAGCATAGGACTCAATGGGCACAGAAATCAATGAAGCCATAGATGGTGATGCCATATGGTTTGAGTTTGTCATGGCCATTGGAGGACCAGAGGTAGTTGGGACTGGGGCAATAGAAACAATGACAGCAAAGCTTGCCATGGCAAGAAAGGGCCACCCCCTCAGGATCAATCTTGTGTACTAATTGTTCAACTGTGTCTTGTTGGTGGGACACCATGGATGTAAGGGGCAGATGCTGTTATCTACTCCAACACTATGGTTGAAGTGTCAAGAAGATTTGGGACTAGAGGGAAGGGGACAAGGTAGTCATGAAGGGTGAAACCAGCACAAACTACAGTTAGGTAACCTCTCATGAGAGGAATAGGGTATGGATTGGGCTATTGAGTCACTATTAATTCTTTTGGTTGATTGACTGTTTAATTAACACTCTTATAAGATTCTTTGTGACACAGTGCACCCTAGATTCTGTGAGTTTGCAACCCAGCAGTTACCCAGACTCAGATGAGTTTGTAACCCAGTGGTGAACCTTACTCTGGTGACCTTGTAGTAACCCAGCAGTTACCCAGACTCAGTTGGGTTTAACTCCCTGAAACTCCTTATCCTGGAGATCTCTGCCCAGAGTCTGTCAGGATAAGGGTACAGTCTGGGGAGAAGGACCCAAAACCTTGTACAAAAATATACACAAAAGATGAATAAGAAACAGAGATAAGTTTTCAGAGGGATAGTGCACCAGACTACTTTTGTAGTCAATGCTAGGAATCCTAATTTAAGAAGACTCAGATATTCCTTTTTGAATATAATCCAGTGTTTGTTGGAGTATATGTTCAAGGGAGGAAAGGGGCAGGGATCTGAGAGGGGAGTTCATATACCTCTCAGATCCTCAGTAGACAGATTGTCCTTTCTCCTATCTTCATTTTATGCTAGCACAGCCTCATTGGTTAACATTTCCTTTTATAGTTTTTATGCTAGGAGAGCCTCATTGGTTGCTATTTCCTCTTATAGTATTTTATGACTACACCTGTATTCCTTTGTCTTGACTTATGTCTACTTATATCATGTGATCTACATAATTCATCTGCTGAGGGAACTTTATCATAGTCCAAAAGATGGTCAGGGCTGGATTTGAACCAGCAACCAGATCCAATGGATCCAAACCCAACACACATGGACTGCCTTGACTGCTAGGCTACCTGACTAGTACTCTCAGGTGCTCCCCTATGTTCTTATAGGGTTTGGTTTACACCATGTAACCCTCAGGTCACAACAAACTTCGGAAGGGGCAGTAAAACTGCTAGCCTGGGGATGGAAGCCTTGCCAGGAAAAGAAAGGTGAGAGTTCAGTGGAAGGATTAGGGGAATTCTTAAATGTGCCAGTCATCCTGTCTGTGAGCCACTTGCTTCTGTCTGGCAAGTGACCTCACTACTAGTCTGAGAAAAGTGTGGGCACAAAGGCCAAAGGTTTAAAACTGGGTTCCTCTGCAGCTCAAATGCTTCAGGAACCTCTCCTGAGTGCCAGATGAGTACTGATCCTCTAGGGAAAGCTCTAGATGTCTACTGGATCAGCAAGGCTTCACGCAGATCCTTTATATCCCTGTGCTATCTAGAAGCAGGCACACTTAGCTTTTATCCTCTACCACCTTGCTTTTCAAGAACCCTTCAGCAAGAATGGACCAGAGGGGGTCACAGAGGAAAGGTGCTAGTGATGAACCTTGGAGATGAACAATGAAATAAAATAACTGGTGAAGACCAGTAAGGAAACTAGACTATTTCTTTAATAGAGAAGAAATCACCAAGGTTAATTGTATATTAACCAGTGACTGAGAATCTCAGAAGAAGAAAGTCCAGAATATCCTAGAGAGGTATTCAGATTGTTGAGTTTTATTTTATTGATGCTTCGGAGAGGGGAAAGTGTCCAGGGAGGTCTGGTCCTCCTTTTATATTCTGAGACTCTTCCATCTCTATGAGTATATTTACTCAGTAGAAGGTAAACCTAACTTTTATGTGTAAATCTCTTGGTAATAATGTGTTATTACCATCACAATTTATGGCTATGGTTTACAACAGGTTGTATCGTGAATAGCTCTTGAAAATGAGCTATGAGTTGTTTACACTTATAAACAATACCTTTGCAGTCCCATGGTTACTCGCTGAGTACTCAAGGGCTGACACTGTCAATGGCTAATGAAAAGGTGGAGATAATGTCTCCAATGTTTGGTTCATCCTTTCCATCTGACCATCAGTCTGAGGGTGGAAAGTGGCAGAAGGAGCAGGTATTGTATTTATAGCTTCTTTTGTACCAATGTCCAAAATGCAGAAATAAAGGTGGCACCCCTGTCTGAGACAATTGTGTCAGGAAAACCATGGTGCTGAAAAAAAAATGAGATGAAGAGTTTGGCCAAATCCATGGATCCCCTGCAAGGGATGAAATAAGCCCCCTTGCATAGGTGGTCAGTTACCAAAAAGATGGAGTCAAAGCCATTGGGCAGTGGTAATTTGACAATCATGAAAATACCAATGACAGACCAAGGTCAATCTGGTATGGGAAGGTGAACTGATTTGCATGGTTTTTCAGAGGTATCAATTTTGGTACACTGACATGAGTCACACAATTTGACAAACAATATCATGTCTTCACAAAGAGTCAGCCATGTAAGAGTACAAGCCAAGAACTGCCAACATCTGTGCTATGCCTGAATGCCCCATAGAAGGAGAGGCATAAAATGCTGAGAGGATGTCAATATAGACAAAGCAGGATACACCAAAAGCTTCAGACAAAATGGATTGAATGAAGCACTGAAAACAAGCAGGAGCAGTAGCTAAACCAAATGTCATACCTAGATATTCATATAAGCCCCAGATTGTAAAGGCTGTTCCACTCATGTCAAGAGTGATATGAAGGTGATTGAAAGCTGTTTTTAAATCAATTTTAGCAAAATATTTACAGCCAAGGATACATGAAGGAAGTTGTCCTAGCAATGGAGTAGGAAAATTATCCCAAACCATCATAGAATTCAAGTGCCAATAATCCACACAGGGTCACAGTTAGCCTTTTGACTTCAACAAAAAAAAATGGGAGAAGTAATTGGAGAAGAGGATTTCCTGATGAATCCTTTTGCCAATTGTACCTCTAAATGTTCATAACTTGGCCTCTTTATCTTGCAATAAAGAGCAAGAGTTGCTAGGTGGAATACAGTCAGATTTGCAATTTATTTCCATGTACCTGGCCATAAGGGTGGTAACTTTGAAGTATTCTGTCAATTAAAGACATCAGCAAATTCATGAAATCTCTCTCAAAGAGAGGAAAGATCAAAGGTACCATCTACAGAAGAAGAAAAAAAAGTTGGATACTTACCACTACTAGGAGTAGGTGACTCATAAGAGCCTTTTTAGTCAAAGTGATGGTCCAGCACCTCCTACCCATCCATGGCATACCCAGAATGATGTCAAAACCTCCTGAAATGATAGAATCAAGTCATAATGACAAATCAAAAAGTTTGCAGTTGTTGCTGTGCATGAACATGTGGCCCACCCATTGATCAATGATTGGCCCATGAGTGCTTGGGATTCCATCAAACCCCTTGCAGATCAAAGGGAAAGGTGGGGGTTCCAACAATTGACCATGCAAAACAGCAAAACCTCTAGTGATAAAATCTCTCTCCAGGTAGCAGCTGAGACTTCTCTGACTTGAGAGTTATTGGAATCGTTGTTCATGCCCAGTAAGTCATAATACATTGGTTGATTGAGATCTTGATACTCAGAGAAGGTGGAAGTGATGGCCAAAGTTTGAATCATTGATGATGGGGAAGTGGGAAGCAGAGCCAGCAGTTCAGGAGGCTGTAATTGACCAATAAAGGGGCTGGAGGGTTTGAATAAGGAAGGAACAGGGGTGCCTAAGGAAGATGCTCATAAAGAGCTGGAGGGAAGAAATGAAAGGGTTGATATACCAAGGGAACTGGGCAATATTATCAGCCCAATGGATCCATCGAAGGAGATAGGAGATGATAAAAGTTTTAAGACACAGAAAAGGGGAAGAAGAAGGGTTCAAAGTCAAACTCAATGCCACTGGTAATGGAGGGCCAGCTGGAGAATATAACATCAATGATGAGAGGTCAGATGATGCCTTGGTACACCTTGACAAGGCAGTATACTGGCTTAAGGAAAGCACATTTAGCCTGAAGCATAACTGGAGAGTAGGGGCAAGAATGGTGCCCATCTGGACCCTTAGTCCATGGACCAAGATAGCATGTACAAATATTTTTTGCATGACAGGCTTCCTTGAACTTCTGATGAGGAAAGGAAAACCTGTCACTAATGCATGGGCATCAATCTTCCATAGCATCATCAGGGTCAAGAGGGATCTGAATGCCTTGTAGATGAGTTGGAGGTGGGAGAGAAGGGAGGTGAGGGGGTGTTGAGGTTGAGGTTGCCCATGCTTTTTGTCCAATTAATCTGTAACCAAAACTACTATATCCTGTTGCTGGCAAAGAGTAGCTGCAGGAGCCCAATCTGTGTGGCCAATGGCTTGAGCTGATATCATGGCAGGGATAAATTGATGTCCATGGGGTGAAATTGATTTGACCAGACCAGGAAATTGGAACAGGGTTGAATTATGAGGCTGTGAATGACTTTGATATGCTTATGGCTAGGGTTTTTTAAGTCTTATGGACAGGGCTTTGGGCACCAAGATAGATTAAACAATAGTTGAAGCTTTATTAGTGAGATTGAAAGATGATAGAAGCTTATGAAGAGCACAAAGACAGATAACAAAGAGTTGGAAAAGTAATTTGATGATAAAAATAAGAGTGAGGTCTGAGGTCTGAAGAAAACATTTCCATGCACAACACAGAGGTATTTATACTCTGATGAAGGGCAGTTCTTCAAATCATCTACAGAAGGGGCTGAAAACAAGGATTCCTGAAAAGTCCTGACCTAAAAATAAATGGCCTACAACGACTAATGATAGCTGATATTACAAGATGGCAGGTACCTTTTCAGGGACAATAGAGAATGAGTACCTTAATTTCCTGGTCTGGTCAAATCAAGATCATCCCATGGACATCAATTTATCCCCACTGTGTATCTTACAATGAAGTGACTTTTTGTAATAATAAATCAATACAGAGTCAGGTATCTCACTAAGGAGAGAGGAGAGGAAAGTAAAAAGGGAGTCAAATTCCCCAATTTTCCAATCTTCCAGTTGAAGAGCTTGGAGATCCTTCAGAGCATTCTTGGCTGCATAATTATCCTTGAATTCAAGGATAAGAGCCTTTATGAATACATAAATGCAGAATAAGGTAGGTGAAATATAGGGCAAGCCTGGTGCCTCAAAGGGATCATGAACATTGTGAAGGGAAGCATTTTGTCAAAGCAATCTCATCCACCAGATGTGAGAAGCTGAACTAGTAGCATTGAATGCTGAGAAATCATGGTAATATGAGCATGATCATTGGAGAAATGGCTGCATGACAGGGCATCATATATAACATGGACATGTTTACCAGCAAAAGATAGGACTAAGAACAGGAGGTTCCAATTGCTGGAGGATAGTGGGAACAAGATTTTTAACTGGAGCTGGGGCAAGCTCCTTAACTGCAGCATGGAGGGTCTGAGTTTGGTATTCCTCAACATAACCCCTATGTCATTATAGTTCTTCTGGAAAGACTCCACATGTTCCAATAAAGGATTGTTAAAAGCTGTCAAACAGGACTCATCATGAGTCTTAAGAAGACATTCCATATGTTCTGCCAGAAGGGCATTGAAGGATGTCATATGAGAGTCCTTGAGGACCTTGAAATGACTATCAACCTGTACATTGATGTGAGAATCAATGTTCTGACAGATCCTGGCATCAATAAGTTGTTCAAAACAAGGGGTTAATGAATCAATGGCCACTAAGCAGGATCTGAAGCTGAATTGGGCTTCAGGCTCAAAGTGAACAACAGGCAAGTCTGTACTGATACCACCAGGTACAGACTACAGCTAGTTGACCTCTAATGAGAGGATTTATTAAGACTCAAGTTGATTTACAAGGGTGTCCTTGAGTGCCTTGTCTTATAACTGGGCAAATCAGTTATCTGCAAGAGCCAACTCTGAGAAATACAGGCTCAGCTGAAGGTAACAGCTCTTGCTCCTTCCTCTATTGGTGTTCTTTGTCTCTAGCCCTTGGTGAGTCTTCACAGTCAAGGGATCCTGGAGGT